GAGTGGGGTCGTGTGCAGGTGGGAGACGTTGGAGGGTGGGGGCTCTCAGGGACGGGGCCGATCTGTGTTTCAGATGGAGACTGGGACTGCAAGGCAGTGGGGGCAAGTGACGGGCCCGTCCCACAGGGCCCAGAGAGTGTGATCCCTGTGGCTCTGTCCCCCTCCCCAGGACTCCAGCTGCACCCTCCAGCACCCCATACTCCCATCGCCTGCCTCCCTGGGGGAGTCAGGACTTCTGAGAGAACGGCCACACGGCCTGAAATCACTGTGGTGTTTATTGGCTGTGATTCCATCCGGAGAGAACAAACACAGCGGCCCCCGACATGCAGGAGGAGGCGCAGGCGCCAGGACAGACGGACAGAGGACACCCATGGTCTACACCAAGCGCGGCTGCTGGGCACCCCACGCGCTGGGAACGGGATGCGGAGTTTCTACGAGACAGCGCTTTGTCTGCTCAGAGCTGGCTTTTTAAAGTGTGAAAACAGGAATTTTAAAAAGACGTGGGACGGGGAGGAGGTGGGGCGCCTGGACGCGCGCCGGCGCCTACGACCAGAGGGGCGGCAGGAGTTAGTATTGCAGGCTAATCGTTATGGCTTCTCTAAGAGCTAGGGAGGGCCACGCCCCTGGCCCGCGACACGTGGACACAATGAACTTCTGATGTGGACAGAAAGGGCCCTGGTACCGGGACAGAGGCCAGGGGCTGTCTGTCTAGATAAAACTCCTCAAATACAGAAGACCTCATTTACCTGAGATTCAACATATTGTGATGCAAACTAAACAAGGGCAGAGGAAACAGGAGGGTTTGGGAGGCTGGCGTGGGGGTCCCCGTGGCTGTTACCGTCAAACTCTGATTGGGTGGTCCACCCCAGCCCCAGCTCAGGGGCCTGCACCAGCGCAGGGTCTCCGCACAGCACAAGATCCCGGGGTCTCTGGGTCACCTCCTCAGTTGTGGTTGAAGGAGTGGATCTTTGGAGGGTGAGGGCAGGGCACCCCCCCCCCGCAAAAGCAGCTCCAGACGAGACAGAAGGTGCCAACCAGGGAGGGGAGTGGGCTGGGCTCAGCTGGGCCCCCAGACTCAGGGGGAACTCGAGTTACAGGGTGTGTGAGGGACTCCGTGAGTGTGCCACAAGGGGAGCAGGGCCTGAGAATTTCCCCCTTAGCCTATTGCTTTGTGTCCCTAACTTGAGAAGAGGCAGGGCCATAGCATTCCTAAGAAGCAAAGCCTTCCAGAGGAGTGGCCAGAGAGGGAGAGGGAGGGCAGAGAGACAGACTGACGAAGAAGGTCGGGTGTGCATGGAGAGGTGGAGGGCAGGCAACCAGCCTTCAGGAAGATGCAGACACAGCAACCCAGGGTCAGTGCAGGAGGAGGGGTTGGGGTCCTGGCTGATCAGGAGGGGGGTGAGCCCCAGCTGCCAGCTGCTCGCCTCTCCCAGCCCCCACCCCAGCTGGCACGACTGCCCAGCCTCCCCCCACTATGGCTGTGCTCCTGAGTATGGGCCCCCACCCACGCCCACCGACGCAGGGGTGGTGGAGGGGCTGGCCTCTTCGCTGGCCCCAGCCTCAGTGCTGCTAGGTGGGTGGTGAAAGGTGGGAGCCGGAAGGAGCTTCCCAGGCTCTGGGGGAGAGTCCACTCCACCGGCTGCCAGGGGAGCAGGTTGGCCAACCCAGGGCCTCCGGCACAGAATACAGCGGCCCTGGGCAGGGGCGGGGGGGGCAGGCGCCCCTTCCTCCGTGGCATTGGCGATGGCAGTGCGGGGAGGGGTTGGGGGTGAGAGGTGGGCGGAGGGTCCCACGGCCTGAGCAGGGGAATATGGGGAGAGACCTAGGACTATGGCTTGTGTTGGCGCTGGGGGTGCACTCTGCTCCCGACACCCCCTCGGGGGCCTCTGCGGAGGGCAGGACGGGGGGTGAGGGGCGGGTGCTGTCCAGCTCTGGGGCTTTACTTCTTGAACATGTCCTGCAGCGGCCCAGGCAGGTACTTGATGACTGTGTCCAGGATGCTCTCGTCCTCCTCCTCGGGCTCGTCCCCGCAGCCTGGTGGGATGGCCTTCTTGGGCCGGGTCAGGCTGCCCTCCGAATTGGCCTCCATGGCTGCCTGGGCCTCGGCTTCACGCTCCTCCTTTTTCTTGATGCCGTACTGCAGGGGACAGGGCAGGCAGGGATCAGGCAGGGCTGGGGACCCCCGAGGGTCCAGGATCCTGCCTCCCAGCCCCGGGCTGGCCGGACCCAATGTGCGTTTGCAGAATGGGCTGAGAGGCCTCAAGAGGCAGCACCCGTGGTTGAGAAAGGTGTCCACAGGGGCCAGTAGCCATCAAGACCCCCAGAAGGAGAAATGCGCACCCAGGAGGGTGCCAGAAGGGGTGGAGAGACCCTCACGGAGAAGGTGGGGACAATGGCAAAGGCCTGGACTGAAGGGCCACCCTAGGGGGAGGGGAACCGCAGGAGAGGGAGCAAGGGGGAGGGGAAAAGTCGCATTTCTCTTGGGGGGTGCTAAGGCTGAGACCCCGTGCTGCCCCTGGCTCCACCCTCCCGTGGTTCCCCCTCGTAGGGCAGCTGGCACCATCCTCAGCCTGGCTTAGGTGGTGGTCCGGGAGCCCCCAGAGAGGCCCGCAGGGGTTGAGAGAAGTCGTTGCTCTGGGCGGCCCAGATCCTCGGTCTGGTGACATGTGGCCATGCGCCATGTCCAGTGGTCACTTCTAGGTGGGTGTGGTGCAACCCCTCCTCGGTGTGCCCTCAGCAACAGTCCTGGACACAGCTCTGCCCCTCCCCCCAATTCTGGTTTCTGTGTGTGTCTCTGCCCCAGGCTTTCCCCATCTCCCCTCAGCGGTGGATTAAATGGTGCTGTTCCCCAAAAGTTCTCGTCACCTGGAACCCAGAATGTGACCTTATTTGGAAATAGGGTCTTTGCAGGTGTGGTTAAGGTAAGAGTAGAGATGAGATCTTTCTGGGCCCTAAATCCAATGAGAGTTTCCTTGTAAGAGAAAGAAAAGGACACAGAGCAGAAAATGAGAACAGAGAAAGGGCTTGGACATTGCCACGAGCCAAAGACCCCAGCGGCTAGAAAAGACAAGGAAGTCTTCTCCCTCCAGGTTTCCGGCGCCTGTGCTTGCCAAAGCTTGCACTCACGCTCACTGCTCCCGCTCAGCAGAACACGTGGTGCTGGCGCAACAGGGGAGTGACAGCAGGACACGCATGTAAGGGCAGGACGTGTGGTGTATGATCACGCAGAGGGACCTCCCTGACCAGGGAAGCAACTCAGGGGGTTGGGGAGGGACTGTGTCCGAGTCCTTCCCTCTGGGGTCCAGGAAGGAGACCCCCAGACCACAGGCCAGTCACTCCACTCAGGATCAAAGTCATTCTGAGGTTCAGGCCACGCGGGGCAGACCTGAGGGTCACCTTTCTCTGCCCGGGCGGGGCTCCTGACCTAGGGCCCTTCTCAGAGCCTGCTCCGATGTGGTGGGACCAGAGTGGTCCTTGACCACTGAGACGGCAGGGCTCCACTGCACAGCCCATGGCTGAGAGGAAGCCCAGGGCAGCCAGTGACCTATGGCAACACGGCACTAAGGACTGTGAGAATCAGTAGTGTGACCAAACGACGAACAATCGGCAGTCACTCCCCCACCTGCTAGTGTCAGCACAAACCTCAGGCTGGGCCTTGAGTGACCTCGGGGGACGTGGGGCCAGGTCGACTAGGACCCCCCAGCTCGGCGCTGGGTCTGGCTCCAAGCTGCGGAATGTGGGCGACTGAAAGCACCAAACCTGGCAGTGCAGTGCAAACCAGAAGGGGGCTATGCAAATTAGGAAGTGCGTATGCAAACCAGGCGGTGCGTATGCAGATGAAGCTGGTGGGCCAGTGTCCTCTCCCACCTGGACCCGCTCCGTGCATCGTGACAGTCTAGGGAGAGGAGGCTCTGCTCACCAGCCCCCGAGGTGAGAAATCTCAAATGCAGACTAGGTCACCTGGAGAGCCGGGCGCCCAGGGGACGGGTGACTCTAGCCCAGCCCTCCAGCCCTCTAGCCTCCATTTGATGGGTCTCCCACCATGATGGGGCCCCGTACCGCACAGCTGGGTGAGTGGACGCTGCACCTGGAGAGGGCTGGGAGAAGTGTGTCTGGGACCCCGGGGCCAGAGAGGGCCATTGGGGAAGTCACGCCTGACGGTCAGGGTTCCCACCTGTGTGGAGCTGGAAGGCAGCAGGGGGTTACCTATGCATGCCAGGTGGAGGAGGGCCCTGCGGGGAACAGTGCGGACCTCGCGGGGGCAGGGCCTGGGGGCGCATCAGGGATGGGGGGCAGGGGATGCCCGGCACTGAGCTGCCCGCACCAGCCACCAGGGGGCGCCCCGCCCTCATGGTCGAGACAGCTGGGCAAGGGGGCAGCTTTGGCGGCCACCCTGCACCACAAGGGCAGCCTCTCCTCCCACTTCCCCAAGACCTGGGGCAGGGTGGGCACCTCTCTGATGAACTGGAGGCTCCTCGGAGGGGTGGACCAGATTCTGGAGACCGGAATGGTGAGGCCAGGAGGACGTGGGGCTCCCCAGGCTCAGGCATCCAGAGCATATAGGACTCACCTGGTCCATAAGGGGATGGGGGTGCAGGGGGTGATCAGCATTGCCCTCTCTTCCCTGCACAACCCCACGTCTGGCCAGGCGACTGCCACCTCCTTGAGGTCTGTGGCCACCCAGGAAGGGCCCCCACCCGGCAGACTCAACTCTGTGGTGTCTGTATGCTCCCCAACACACCCCACACATTCCCTGTAGGCCGACTAGTCCTGCCTGCTTAGTCCCACCACAGCGGGAGAAGTGACCTGCAGGGTGGGGTGGGGGCCCAGCTCTGACCCCAGCTCTAGCAATGACTCAGCAGACATCACAGCGCCCCCCTGGGCGGGCAAGACCAGAACCCTGGATATGCACACTGAGGCCTGGTAGGGACAAGACCTCTGTGGCTGGTGGGGCCACGGCGGGTCTGGGAGCTGGCAGAGGTGAGGGGTGGCCTGGGGCCTGGAGGGGGTTCAGAAGATGATCAGCCCACCCAAGGGGGCCCCAGGTAGGGAGTTGCTCGTCTAGGGAAGTAGGACCCCTGGTGAGGGGACCCCAGTGACACCAGGCTGGAGGGTATTTCCATGTGGCCACCCCAGAAGCATGTGATCCATCACCTGACCCTGGCTGGGGAAGTTTGGTGAGGGTCACCCTGCCCTCTGGCTGCCCGTGGAGCTGCAACCTCCCACTCCCACTGGGACTCACTCTGTGACCCAAAGTCCCACCAGGTGCTCCTGAGAAAGAGAAGACCCTGGAGCTGATGCCTTTTCATCACTCATTCACTAGCTCAGCAGCCAGAGGGCGGAGGACAGCGTTAGCCAGTGGTAACAGCCCAGCGCAGACAGTCAAAGCTCCCAGCCAATGGGAGCAGCCCAGTGCAGACAAAGCTCCTGCCCCCGGGGCAAGTGGGTGGGGACCAGCAAACAGGTAAAAAGTATGAGTGTGTTGAAGGAGGGCAGGTGGGGGAGCAAAATAAACGCAGGGAGGGGGTGGGGAGGGGAAGGGAGAGAGGTGCCTCGGAAGCTCCAGGGATAAGCAGCCGTGCCAAGGCCCTGGGGCAGGGGCAAGGGGAGGGGTGGGGCCTACAAGCAGAGCCGTGGGGGCAGAGGTCACCACGCACCTTGGGCTGGGGCCCAGGAGGAAATGGGGGCCACTGGAGGGTTTGAAGAGAGGAGGGACGGGGGCACTTTCATGTTAAAGATAAAATGAGCCGAGTGTGCTGTCACACGGACTCACACGATCCGCCTCTACCCGCCCCACCTCCGCCTCGGCGCCCAGGCCACATCCACACCTGGGCCCCAGGAGAGTTCCCAAGGCCCTGGGTCGGGGCTCACTGGGTGCTGGGGAGGCCATCCCCACAGCCCCACACCCTGCACACCCCAGGGGGCTCCGAGGCCTGTCCACACTTTGTGACCTGTTTATGAGGCCTGAGAGCTGGGATCAACAAGTTCACCTCCCGATTCCCCACCGGGTGTCCACGTGGGGTGAAGCCATGGCCAGCTGGGTGGTTGAATGCAGATGGACAGACGGACAGGCGCTCCAAACACAGCTGCTCCAGCCCTCTCCTCACCCCTCTCCTCCCCCCCCCACCTCCCCCCCCTCTCTCACGTACGACGCGTACGGTCGCGACGTCGACGACGCGACGCGTACGTCGACGAC